TGGACACCCCAGAGAGCAAAGCAAGTGGTGAGAAGGCACCCTGATTATGTGGGATCTTTGCCTTTTCTAATGGAGATCGATCAGCAATCAAATGTAGAGCTAAAATTATCAAGCTACCACAGGGCTCAGATCTCTGCCATTTGGGGGGGGGGGGTACAGAGTGGGACTATGTTTTAAAATAGCTCAATCAAGTAGATTACAAAAATGATCAATCACCTATTAATAATCCAAGGTGCAGGAATTTCTTTTTTTTTTTTCTTTTTCTTCTTCTTCTCACTCATACACACACCTCAAACAAGTAAAAAGTTTGCCATATCAAAATAATCTCTCTCCCAAATCCTCCTATTGATGTATAGGCATCAAGAAGGACCAACACTTGGCATTGCCCCAAGGAGCAGCAGCCCCAAAACTACATTCTACCCTAGAGCTTTTGAATTTACAAGAAGCTCTGTAGAGAAGTGGTCAAGTTAGCCTAAGGGATAGTGCCTGTATATGAGATTCATTGATCGTTTGATCATGTTTTCTTCCCTAACAGGCAAGATGAGCAATGAGTTAAAACTGGAGGCCTTTACTTAGTACCCAAGGCAAAAAAAAGAAAAAAAGAAAAAGAAATTCAATTCCTCTTCCCCAGCTAAACAAAAACTCTAGGTTTTCATCCTCCTTCGACCTAGATATGGTCAAAGAGATCATACAGAAAGTTCCTAGGGAAAAAGAGACCTTAACTCTCAACTGTTCAGCCAACTTTTCAGCTTAGAAATGTCTTTACAAGTGAATACTGAAACAGACACAAACAAAGGTTTATGGGATAGAAACAGGGAAAGACTTACACAGACCTAAACTCGGCACCAGGGAACTGGGACCACATCACTTCAACTTCCCATTACTTGCTTGTAATAATATATAACCCAGACTCTTCTCTTAACTCTAGCGCTCTGAATTCCCATAAGGAAATATCACTTTTCGGAGAAGAAAAAAATCAAACCCATTTTCCTGTATAGTCAATGATGGGTGGTGGAGGGGGGAGGTGGAAGCAAGTAGGGTCAGAAGGGTCACAGGGCTTTTCAGTTGCTTTACCCAATGTAACAATAATCTGCAGAGACTGAAGGTAGGACACAAAAAGACTCCACCTGGTTGTGGCTGGCTGAAGTCTGTAAATACCTTCACCATGAAGACTGCATGTTTTTAGCTCTAGCTTGCAAGTTGTATTAAATAATGAACGATGTAAATTAGACTCCCTTATATTAACAAGTCTAGTGTGGCTTATGTAACCATACTCCAGATTTAAATGCACATTCTTAAATGTACATAAAGCCCAACTCTACTGTTCTAGACCCAGAAGGAGGGTCTAAGAAGTAAATACCAGAGTGAAAAAAATGGATGCCTTTGACTGAATCCATGTGAATGCCAGAATTTTTTTTAAGTAAGATTAATTGCAAAGGCAAAGCATATTAAGGTGAGAGGGCCAAAATCAATGTATTAATGGCACAACATTACAGCTGCTTAACCAGACCGACAATAAATTGCACGGTCTTTGACAGTAAATGTTGCAAATTGTATTTATGTTTTGCTAAGAGAAAAATATTACACTTGTCTTCAAATATTATCCCCAAATCAGAGATTATCGCTCAAGACACTTTTTTAAAAAGACCCCTACTGGTCTTCATAAAACATGTGCAATGCCAAAATGCATGCTATTTCCCGACAATGAAGATACACTTAACACTACTGAACTATATACTTAACAACTGTTAAGATGACAGTTTTATGTTCTGTGTTTTGCCATGGGTTTAAAAAAAACTCACGAGTTATTTAAACCATGCCTTTACCACTTAGGTGAGAAAGAACTTGTCCTTTACGATACACTTTGGCTCTGGGACTTAAATGGTCAGTTACATAACTCCAACAACAGGCTTCACTCTAGAATTCCACTTATATGTGACACTGGTATTGTTTTTAAGTTTAATTTAGCATCACTATGGAATAACCACTTCCATCAACAGGAGTTGTCACTTATCAGCAGTGTGGTGCCAGCCAGGTGTGATACATATCGATGGATAGAGAGGTACAGATCTGAGTAGATCACATTTAGTGAGTCAAGACTATAAGACAGGGGATGGGTGGGAAAGTGAAATGTCAGCTGAGCTTAAAATATGCATAAAATCACAAGAAAAATCCTACCCCTTTATTTATATATGATATATATATGTATACATATATATATATATATTATATATATACATTTTAAATGTCTGCCATTGGCACTTTCTGACTCCTACTGGCACAGTGGCTTAATGACTAGATACTAACAAATACACTGCTTTGTACAATTCTATGAGAAACTGTGGCTTCAGCAAGTTCTAATTACAGTTCTTTTACTTTTATTTCTAAAAAAGAGAAACCTGTAACTTCAACGACACACCATGAAGCTAGAGCCCTAAAACAGAGTTTTAGCTTAGGAATACCACTGGCTCTAAGAACAAAGTTTGGAAAAAAAATTTTTAAAAGGTGCAATTAAGTTCCAACTGTAGCTGGTAGTCACAGGTCAAGTATTTCAAAGCTGTTCAGGCAAATATTGGTATGTAAGAAAGAGAGCGTAGATGGTGTCCTGTAAGGATGAGAGTGAAACAAGCTCATCCACTGATGTCACTCTGAGATCAAAAAAGCAGAATTCAAAATAATTACACAAAGCGCTTTCCAAATAAGTATTGCAATACGTTTTACAGCTAAAGACACCAGGACGTAAACTGGGTTCCAAGGAAGCGGAGGGACAGAGTAGAGAAACATACCTTTTCTCAGAGCTCACATCTATGCGGCCCAGCTAACATTACTAACCTCATCCCCATCCCTACCACTTAACCCTCAGCATCTCTCAACTTCCTCAATCCCAATGGATTTTCAAATCAAAGGAAAACTAAAAGTAGAAATTAGGAGTACCGTGACAGAATAAGAAACAGTGAACAACGTGTTAGTAAATATTTTTTAAGGCCATTATGAAAAGTCTGAAAATAGGAACCTGCTTTCAGATACAAAAGAAGGAGCCCCAACTGTGAGAACAGAAACAAGACAACTCTGCTCAGGTCTACTCATTTCACATACATCCGGGAGCTAGGACCACAAATATTTGAAATATTAATTTTTTTTAATTTAAAGAAAAATTTTTTTCAAATGTGGCTTTAAAATTATTAAAGGACAAAATTAAAGTGAAAATGATCAGCCCTGTCTCCTTTCTTTCTTCCTTATACGTTCTTGCTCTAATACAGAATTTAAAAACCAGTACACACACGAAATAATCCAGCTGCATAAAGGTACTCCTCGCAGTCTCAAAACAGTCTGAAGGGGTCTGAGTCCTATACGGCCTCCTCGTCTGACCACTGACACCCCATCTCGTGAAGAAAACAAAGATTCTTATGCAAGGCCACAGATCATTTTGGACCAGCCAAGCGAGCTCAGGCCAGCCCAGACCGAGGCCAACATGGTTGAGACCCTATCAGCCCCTCCTCTCCAGCCCTGGCCGCTGCTCTCCTTGCCCTACCCACCCCCCAAAATAAAAAGAAATCCTATCGTCCCCGATGCAACCCGACAGCTGCCTGCTCCCAGCACACCTAAGCTATGCTAGGTCTGTGCATTCCCCTCCACTCTGCTCTGCTCTGCTGTCATTTCCTCCGGCACAAGCCTTACAATGTGACCATCACTAGCCCTCCAGGCAATGGAGTCTAAGGTCTTACTTACATCAAAAAACAGGTTATCTCCGTCAACTGCGTTGGCAGAAACATGGTAGAACATTTTCTGTGGGGGCAAAAAAATGCATGCGCACTTGCCAACCGGAAGGCCACAGCCCAAGCCCTACTTTCAGGGCTGCCTATCTCAGGGTAAAAACAAGAAAGAAAAACAGGAGAAACTTTGTCTTATGCTCCTCGCCCTGGCCCTGGATGGGTACAATCTCATGCTAATGAAATGTAGAAATGCCACAGTCCCTAGGGGAAAAAGCAATAATAACATCTTCAGTACAGGTGACCCAGAAATGCTAGAGATGACTGGTGAGTTCTTGCCTGGCAATATATTTGTCACCAGGCGTCAGAGAAGGGCCAAAATACACAGTTCTGCCTCTCCATCAGACCAGGATAAGCTCAAACATTCCCAGAAATGCAGGGTCCTGGTGCTAAGGCCAGCCTTGGTCAGAGTGCTACCCGCTGCTTGAACATCCAACATAGTCCTGGGAAATTATTCAATGGGCAATTAGGATTTATAAGCCAAATGGTCTCAAAATTATATCTCGGGGAAGTCAAGTTCAAATTAAATCAGACCAGGCTTTTAGGCTTCCAACGATCACATTTTCTCTTTTGAGTGAGTGCATTTCAACACTCAGAACTTCTCCTCTTACAGATTGTTTTCAAGGCCATCTCGGGATGCAATCTCCTGAACAAAATCTGATATATAAAATGAAAAGAGAAATTGGTTAACTCTCAACCTCAGAGAGAGACGTTAAGGGAGAGACTCTCACTTTCTTCACGAGATCTCAGAAAGTTAATTATTTTAACCTCCTTTCTAGTTAATAATACTGAAACTTCTAAGACAACATACATACCTATAGTACTTTATGAAAGGAACATCCAAAACGGAAGTTATTGTCTATGGAAAGTCTAAAGCACACCTAAGAGAGCTTTGTAATATAAAATGTACTTGGGATTCCTTCCACAAGGAAGGAATATTTATTTTTCACATATTTGTATAAGGAGATTTATATTTACATATATTTATATCTACATATATCTGTATAAGGATATTTAAAACTTATTTTAAAGTGCCACACTTTGCCCTGAGCCAGGAACCCTCAGCTAGTGAAAGTGGTAACTGACAGATGGTCCAGACTAGCTCTGCATCTTTCTGTCTCTGACTTCTCCCCGCATGTGGGACAGCTTTCACATCCAGGACCTACCCTGCCTGGCCAGCCAGGGCCCTAAGGGTGTGGAAAGGAAGGAGGAAGAGCACCAGGAACTCACATTTCGGTGATATTCTCAGGGTCTGCACTGTTAGGCTCCAACCTCGGAAATGCCACGATGCCAGGAGAAGGGTCGCTGCACCAGATCCGAGAAGCGCTGCATTTGCAGGACGTGGGACAGGCAACAGCGGCCCTCCAAAAGCCCACAACCAGCCAGCAGAAGCCCCAGAGCCGCGCCATGGCGGGTCCATGCCACCTCGTCCAGGACGACATCCCTGGCCGCCAGTGCCAGCTCGAGCGCCTGTCCCCGCGAGGCACCGGCCGGCCCCCCCAGCCGGTGCGGGGAGGCCTTCCCCGCGCTCGCCGCTCTCCCGAGTCCTCTGAGCTTGCTGCGGGCGCGCTGAGTCGACTGTGTCCGAGGCTCAGCTTGTCCTGGTTTCAGCGTATTCCCGCCGGCAGCACCGTTCACAGTGGCCGGGGCATCGCGGGCCAATTCACAGGGGGCGCTACCGCCGCTCGGAGCTCCGCCGCGGCCTCCACTGCATGGCCCGGTGCGCCGGGGACCGACCCGCGGCGCTCCGGTACTCTCTGGGGCGCAGGCTGCTTGCTAGACGCGCACGGGGATCCGGCACGCACCTCGGGGCTGAGAATAAACACACACGCGTAAGATTCCGCGCAGGATCCCACACACCACGAATCGGGACACTCTCTCTCCACGTTCGCCTCGCCCCCACCCGGACCCACTCAGGAGACTGGGTGGATGAGTGCCCAGCTCCGGCCCTGGGAACAACTTGCCCCGCGAGGACACTGCCGCCGCCAGGACCCCCAGTGTGGCCACCCTCTCTCTAAGCCTGAGGCCGAGGTAGAGGAGGTAGGAAAAGGGTCCCTGAGATAGGATTCCATGGCACAGGCCGGGCGAAGGACCCTTTAAAGGGGGGCGCGGAGACTGCGGGCGGCGATCGCTCCGCGACGGGGCCCTCGAATGATGCTGCAGAATCCGCCACGGCCGCTGGGCGCTGGGGGCGCGGGCAGGTGGCGCGGGCACTCCCAGCAGGG